ATTTAGTTAGTAATTATAATTTAGAAATATATTTTTCATGCTATAGGCAAATGAACCAGTGAGCTGGCCTTTCTGGATCAAATTACCATGTGATGCCGTTGTGGTGATGAAATCACAGAACTTATTTTCTATATATTATGTTCACAGAATTAACATTTTTGACATACTGGAAGCTGTAGTTGTAAGATGCAGAACAATTAGAATACTATTCTTAGAGAGAGGATTGAGTGGTTGTAGACTTGTAGTTATGGCATGCTCTATGTTTAAGAAACTAAGGAGAAGAAAAACTTGGATATTCTATCAAATAAAGAAATTGTCTTGGAGAGATATGGTATCAGAAGCTGTAGAAGAAAACTTAAATTCATAAACTTTAGGTTGTTACTGACAGACTGTTAGTTGCTTAGATGTTTTGTTCTTGCTTTGTTATATTATATACTAATTATTTTCTTTAGTGCTGTCTTTCTGTCTTAATGGACTTCTCTATGGTATTATCTTCTTTTGGTTTCCTCATATTAGGGTGCTCCTACTTTTCATATCAGAAATATCTTTGAAGGCCTGTAATATGGTTGGATTAGTTTTTACTTCTTTAACTCATAAAGTCCCAAAACCACCATTAGTCAAAATCCAGAGTATAATGATACAAGTGTTAAATTGCTTAAAAAAATGTTGGTTTGCTTTTTGCATGTGCTCACTTTTTTTAAGTTGAATGTGTCACAGACACATATTTCACATGTACAGTGTACTCAATCTCTCTAGTCATGATGTAACTTGTAATGGAATCTGTTTTCTATACCGGCTGATTGTAAGCACTCCAGTTGTGAAATATGAATTGAACACTCATGTAATGTAGACAAATTTATTATTTCTGCACTGAACAGGTTGATTGAACTTCTTTGAAAGCTTGCGGGTTGTATGTTAATTTTGGTTCTGTTGACAGAAAGTTTGTTCAACCGTCCCTTTATTGGCGTTAGCTATGCTACCTACTGGAGCCAAGGAGAACCAATTACGTGAGAGCAACAGTCAAAAGGTCCATCCTCAACCCATGGAAGAGGCCATGAATCAGAATCCAGAAGCAATGGAAACCCTAATATCTAAGATTTTTACGAATATCTCTTCCTTGAAGTCAGCTTATATCCAGCTACAAGCTGCTCATACTCCCTATGACCCTGATAAAATCCACTCTGCTGATAAACTTGTTATTAGTGAGCTGAAAAATCTGTCTGAACTCAAGCATTTCTACAGGGAGAACAACCCAAAACCAGTGTGTGTTTCTCCCCAGGACTCACGTTTAGCTGCAGAAATTCAAGAACAACAGAGCCTTCTTAAAACTTATGAGGTCATGGTGAAGAAATTCCAATCTGAAATCCAGAATAAAGATTCAGAGATTCATCAATTGCAGCAGCAGATTGAAGAAGCTAGCCAGAAGCGAGCAAAACTAGAGAAAAATCTGAAGCTTAGAGGTTTGTCAACCAAGGAATCAGAAGAGGAAACTGGCTTTTTCCCTCTTGATCTAACTCCAGATCTCTTCACCTCTGCTGTGGAAGCAGCTGCAAAAGCCATCCATGATTTTTCTAAACCTCTGATCAACATGATGAAAGCAGCTGGGTGGGACCTTGATGCTGCTGCCAACTCAATCGAACCTGATGTTGTTTACGCAAAGAGAGCTCATAAGAAATATGCATTTGAGTCTTACATATGCCAAAGAATGTTCAGCGGCTTTGAGCAGGAAAGCTTCTCTGTCAAATCAGACAATATTACTGTAACTAAAGAGAGCTTCTTCCATCAATTTCTTGCTTTGAGAGAGATGGATCCCTTAGACATGCTAGGGCAAAATCCGGATTCCATTTTTGGGAAATTTTGCAGGAGCAAATACTTGGTGGTAGTTCATCCAAAGATGGAGGCATCATTCTTTGGAAATTTAGATCAGCGAAATTATGTTATGGGTGGAGGGCATCCAAGGACTCCTTTTTACCAGGCTTTTCTTAAACTGACCAAGTCAATTTGGCTTTTACACAGATTGGCTTATTCTTTTGAGCCAAATGTTAAGGTATATCAGGTCAAAGGAGGGAGTGAGTTCTCTGATGTTTATATGGAAAGTGTGGTCAAGAATCTAATAATGGATGACAATGATGAAAAACCCAAAGTTGGTTTGATGGTTATGCCTGGATTTTGGATTGGTGGAAGTGTGATTCAAAGTAAAGTCTACCTCTCTGGTATGAAGGTCGCTGAATGATTCCTGAATACAGGCTAGATTTTCAGCAAATGCATAGTTGATTGTATGTGGTTTGTTTGAATTGTCGTTTTCTTATCTTGTAAGTTAATGCTATTGTCTGTAACTTTTAATATCCCTTTTAGTGGTTGTAACTTGTAAGAGTAAATGAGCCCTTTGTCCTTGTCTACATTCAAGTCTCTTCTTGTGTTGTGAAAACTTCCTGCACCCGAATTCTAGTGTTTGTGGGAGGGGAATTGGAAGGTATATAGAAAATTTCCCTCTATGTAGTAGTTTCAATGCTCTGGGGAGAAGAAAGGTTCTTGTGTAGCATTTCCACAGCTGATTAGTTTAGTGCTCTAAACTGATTAACAAGTGTTGCATTTTCACTTTCAAGTATAAAATTAGTGTAGCCTCCTAGATTTATGTAATCAGCCATTCAAAATTGATTGGCTTAGCGTGCCCAACTTATGTTATTTGGGTGTTTTAAACTAAAGGGTATTTCAAGATAGTAGTCTTTAGCTTTCGATTAAGGATACTTTTGTCTATAGAAATAATAATAATAAACAAATGGGTGGGGTTATAATTATAGAATCTGTTATGCAAATGTTTTATTAATTGGACTTGGTGAAAAACTAAAGGAAAAGCATTTTGATAATCAAATACTACTAGGACGAATACAGTAAATAGTTAAATACGGGTGTAAAATTATTTTTGTGTTAACTTTTTTTAATTAACAAAACTCAAGACTTGAAATAATTAAGATCCATGTTACACCCTGGCCCTGCACGTGTTTAATCCACGTATTAAATGAATTAGGTATAAAGAACAAGTTAATATATACAGGATGATAATTTTCCAGTTGTATTGTTATGTAAGGCCAGCTAAAGAGCTTAGAAGTTAGAACATCGTTGATGGATAATTTATCCAAGGGTTGTTAAGTTATTTTTATTATAAGTTGTTATATTGGTGTCCAAAAAAGATATTTTTATTAAACTCTATACTATTATATTAAATTACTTCAATAATTTTTTATACCAATGGTAAATTCACCTAAGAACTTAAAATAAGTCTAACATTACTTTATATCTTTATACTTTTTCAATAATTGAAATTGCAATCGGAAGGTTTAGGAATTAGGACTTTGAAAGTAACATGCACATTTGCGCACTTACACATATTATAAAATATAATATTTTTACTTCAAATTTATTACAAAAAAATAATTCTCTTATAAATATTATTTTATACCTAGTAGATCAGTCATTTTTTTATAGAACAATTTTTACGATCTAAAAAATACAAGTGATATTATACTCTTTTCTTTTCTTTTTTTTAAACAATAACTAATATATATTATGAATTATATTTTTTTTACCTTCCAATAATTCTAAGTTAATAATAATTTTCGTTTCGTTATAATAATTTCCTTTGGTTAATTTACTTTATAATTCATTGTGGCCAACTAAGATAGTATAGTTAATCAATGACTTCTAAACTATATATATATATATATATATATA